TATTGGGGGGTGGTTGGGTTTTTTCCTGCTGCCAGAGAAGCCATTTGGCTGCCCGCGGCAGTGGCAGAGCTTGTGGCAGACGGATGGGGAGGGGGCACAGGGTCCCCAGGCAGGTCCCGCTGGGACGTAGCCCTCACCAGCCGCTCTTCGTGTAGCAGAAGAGGACGCAGCCATGAGAGAAAGCTCCTTGAGACGCTGTTTTCCTTCTGTGCAGCTCAGAAGGGCAGGGAGCTGCTGCCCTGTGTGCTTTTGGGTTTGGCTGCGTGACAAATAAAGGAAATATCTGGGGGCAGTGGAGGGAGGTGACGCCGGCAGGGTCCGTCCGTCTGGTTTCAGTGATACAAGCCGGCTGTGGCAGCTTTTCCAAGATAGGATCGCAGGAAGTGGAGCGGCTTGGCGAGGGACAGGGGTGGGATGTCCCCAGTGCGGGGATGGATCTGGTCCCATAGAGGACAGGCGGATGCTACGCCCTGAATTCTTATTACTAGTTGCTGGCAACCAGTCTCCGCCCCCCGAAGGGCTAATTTTTCTAATTAACATAATTAACATTTTTAATAAAACTCATGCACCATCTCTGCCACACCGGCATGGTGGCAGCAGCAGAGAGGAGGAGGAGGTGGGTTTGCTGAGTGAGGCCGAAGGCTGTGTCCATCTCGGGCTCTCTGGTTGATCCCGTGACGCTTTTTGCTCCGTCTCAGGCCGCAGGCGGGACACACTCGTCGCCGGGAGCAGAGCGGGTGCCTCTCCCCAAGCACCGCTGCTGCCTGTGCTGTTTCGCCGTAAAATCATCTGCGTGAGCTGGCTGGATGCTTCCGACCCCCGCGGGCTCTTCCTTCTCCGGGAGAGGAACGCCGAGCTGGTCGCGGCTGGGGTCAGGTGGCGGGGTGGGAAGGATGCCCCGCACCCTGCCCGGCCACCCTGCGGTGGGAGCTGCCTCGTCCCCCCTTGTCACCGCAGCCGGTTTTGCCTTGACCCCGGTGCCGCGTGCCTCGAGCAGAGCTGCTGCCTGGGTGGGGAGGGAAGAGCATCTCTGGAAGGTCGGAAGGCATCGAAAAATGCCAGGGAGCAGCCCAGAATAACATTTTCTGGGTCACTTCTGGGTCATGTAGGCAGGAGGGCTCAAGGCAGAAGGGTGATAAGACAACGCAGCACCGTGAGATGGTGTTTGCCGGGGGATGGAGGAGGAGAAAGGCTGCCGCGGCCGGGCATAGTGGCAGGACACCCTGTACTGGGTGTTGCTGCCACCAGTTCATTCCGGGCTTCAGGCAAATCATTTAAATTCTCCCTCTTTGAAAAGAAGGAAAACACCTTCTTATCTCACACTAGCCTGGTTGAATTCCCTCCGGCAAAACGCTCCCGGAGTCTCAAACGTGGAGGCACCACAGACACGAGACTTCTCCGGGAGGATGCTGCTGCTGCCTCCTCCCAGACTACCCGCAGAAATACTTGGCATGTGCTGAGCGTTCGCCCCTCTGCCGGGGCAAGATGGGTTTCCCCGATGTCGCTGGGATCGCCCCACGGGCTCTGAGATAAGATATAAATAAGAAAAGGCACTTTAGAGTGGGGCAGGGAGCGATTCTGTGAGCCCAGCCGATCGGCAGGGCAGCCTTCCAATAAAACAA